CGTAAACAACCAAGTTCTTGAGGGATCTCTCCTTCAAAACTGTTCCCCGAAAGGTCAAGATTCCTTAGAAAGGTGAGGTTTCCTATTTGGGGAGGTAAAGAACCAGCCAGCTTTTGCCCCGCTAAATTTAACCCGGTTACTCTTCCTCTATGCCTGCGGCTGCATGAAACTCCATGCCAATCGCAAAAATGGATAGACTCATTCCATGAATTAAGGACACTGACCTCAAGCTCATCTTGACGTACTCTATCCTTGAACGCCAACAAGGCGAGTTTGTCCTTCTCATTTCCAGAAGGCAATGCAGCTGCCGAAGGAGTATCGAAGCCTAAGTGACTTAGGACAATGATGACAAAGAGCGAAGTTGCTGAGACATACAAATGCAGAGCTGCCTTCATTGATTCTTGCAGCACTCTGCACGTATTTGGAAGACGAGAATCAAAGCAATGCTTGCAATTTAAAGATTGGAAAGCTGAAGAAGAAGACCTCGTGTTTCATTAACGTGCAATTTGGAGAGATCCTAAAACTCGCCAAACTGACTTTTGGATTCTTGACAACAATGACCCTTGAGTTTAAAATTTATTTTAGAATTCGTATCATGCACTTCAAGACTTGGACTAATGTGGTATAGGATGACTAAAGGCCGTAGCCAACAGATTTAGACCTAAATACTTTGAACCGGCCAAAAAGACCAAGGACCTAAAGACTTGGGACAAGGCTTTTGGCATAGAAAAATTTATTGGCAGAATGTTCCAACCCCATGTGAACGCATGACTTTCCATGCGGTAATTTTCTTCATCGACCTATAAGCCAGCTGTGGGCTAGAAATTACCTTGTTGAAATCTTGCAAAATTACATGATGACCTCATTTAATGAGGTGATGAAAATTTGCACGGGTGATTGGGTTTTTACTCTATAAATAGTCATGCATGCAAAGGCAACATGCAAGAAGCAGAGCAACACCAAGCGCGTGAGTGAGCTTCCAACGTGAGAGCGTTGGGTGAAGGAAAAAAAAAAGGGTGAGAGCCAAGTATTAAACTTAGGTGTAACTGTGCTTTGAGTGATAAAAAATTATGAGTTTATCAAAATTATGATTATATTCTTGGGGGAATAAAAAACATTAAAAGAGAAAAACACTTTTGGGGGAGTAGGAAATATCAAAAGAGAAAAAGATTTAAATGTATATTTTGTATAATTTTATTATATAATAAAATATTTTTAAAAATTTGCCCTTGGGTTTTTTCCTTCAATAGGTTTTTAATGGTTTTTTCATATAAAATTTAATTTAATTTAATTATTTATTTTTTCCTCTCAAGTGGTTGGTTAAATCACTTATTTTATTTTGCTTGATTAGCTAAGTCACCTTTATTACAAAATGTTAATATTGGTTGACCAAGCTGTTTGTTTTATCATTCCTTGTTATTATTTAGATGTATTGTTCTTTTTTTGGATAAAATGTGAATTCTTATTCCCAATAACAAGTATACAAAGCAACACTACTAATAAAGGCTGCTATCAGATAAGAGTTGTACAAAAGAATGAATAGATAATCAACGGATAGAACTCAATCCAAAATTACAGCTCCAATACAAGCTTATCCTCCTTTCAGCACCACTAATAAAGGCTGTTAAAAATCTTACCCTCCTTTCAGGACACTGTCTATACAATACAAGCTTGTCTTGACAAAAGGGTTCAATATCATTAATCTGCAGGCCTAAAACATAAAACAATAAGT